CTCTCCCTAAGTGTTTCAATGAAAATGCCGCATATGAATGTGGAAAATGAATTCCAACCTCTTGATTTTAGTGCTCGTGTGAAAGAGACCTTGGCAGTTAGAGCCCAGGCTTTCCCAGGGCAGCAGAATACGGGATTTACTCTGGAAATGAGAGGAGCACATTGACTGAGATGCCCCTTCCTGCACCCTCACCACGGTTGCTTTCGGTCACAGCGTCACGTCAAGGGCTGGGCTGTAAGGGCATCGGTCTGCCCGGCTGCTGCACCCCCAGGGCACTGGCCAGGGCTCACCCCAAACAGAGAGCCCCTGCCCGCCGCTAGTCCCCTCCTGAAACGTGGGACAGGAGCTTTATTGTTACCTCAGATTGCCTTTTTCTTCTTTTCTTTGACTTTTTTCCTTCTTCTCTTCCTTGACAGCTGTTACTTAAGAACAGCTGGGAGGGAGCTGATTGCAGCCTGGGACAGGTTTAATTGCAATCAAGCCCAAATTCTCCCCTCCTGAGGAAACGCCTTTCCTACACCTTTAAATCCTCCAGTTCCTCTCCCCTGCCCTTCTTTGGGGCAGTAGGTTCCTGGGGACCACTGTGTTTTGGGCCCTGCCTCAATGCTGCTTCTCCTTGGATGCTTCTTCTGCTTCTGTGCTGTGTGCTGCTACTCGGTGACTGCCTGGACCAGGCTGCCTCCTGCTCCGGCTCCTCTGCCCGTAAGTCATTTGTGGCTTTTCTGTGCTTCTGGAATGTTGAAACTAAAGTTAGAACAGCAGCTGTGGTCCTCAAAATCTGTTCTGTGTGGGCATCCAAGTCTGTCAGAAAGGGCTGCTCTGCACAGGTGGAAAGGAGGATAGACAGGCACGGATCAGCAATAAGTCTTTTACTGTAAAATTCTCAGGAGAGCCCAAGACGTCTCTTGGCAAGGTGTAAGCAGTTATCACCCAGAGGCCCCCGAGCCTTGCGGTGCTGTGAGAAACACCAGCAGCTTCGTAACTCTCTGTCACGGTACTTCTCAACTGGGTTTAAGAGCCTCCAGTCCAATGGCAGACAGCTGCTGTTTCAGTCGGTCTCATCTGGTGAGGGGTGTCTCCCCTGATGCTCTAGCACGAGCCTCGGGAATGTCTGGATTTACTCATGCAGCGAAAGTCTGGAAAAATCCCCGGGGCTGCTCCCCCTTCCTACAGCCGCAACGTGCAGGCGTGAGCATCTCTAACATTTAGGTGTAGCTGGATCAAGCAGTGAAGCCGCAGTTTCTCGGGGTGCAGGGTGCCTCCCTGGTCAGCAGGAGCAGGCCCCTGCTGTGAGAAGTTATTTCTGTGTCTCAGGGAGAAGCAGCGCCTGGCCTGGTGGATGAGCTCGGGTTTGTACCGTGGTCAGAACTGGGAACTCCTGGAGGAGGGTGGGGATGGGTCGGCTGTGAGCCTCACCTTGTGGTATCCCACCGCAGCAGGCAGAAGCTTGTAAACATTTAAAATTAGTATCCGTGCCCTGACGAATGAGAGCAGCTTGTGTGTTCAGTCTAAAAAAAATATCATTTGTGTCCTGGGAAAAAGGTTAGAACAAACATAACGGATGCAGGCAGAGCTCGGAGGAGCAGGCTGCGAGCGGAGGCGGTTTCCCTTTCGAGCAGCTGGGACACGGTGTTCAGAGCTGGGGGGGAGGCAGGGATGCTGTTTTCTTTCTCCGTTTCCATAAATCACAGCTTTTAGTGAACGCAGCCTGAGGAGACCCTTCAATAAGCCTTTCCTGTAAGACTCCACATTTAAGTCATACTTGCTAATTCCAGGCCTGGAACTGTGATCTTGCAGAAACAAGGGCTTGGCAAGCTCAGCTTTTAGCTCAGCTCATGGAGCCGCTTGAGCAAACATGTTTCCAGCTCACGCGTGCTTGTAATGCTTTCCTACTTTTTGGGAAAGCTTTGTGAGCATCTGCCGGGTAGCACAAACCACGTCTTAAAAGCTCGGGCTCGGATGCTGTGCTGACAAGTGTGTCAAAGCGAAAAGCATTAACTGTGTGCTGTAGGCAAAGAGGGACGTGTAAATATAAAATGAAGTCAGTAGCAGGCCAGCCTCTGCAGTGGGGCGCTGTGCTTATAGAGAAAACAAACAGGATTATGATATTTCAGTTATTTTCTTGTTTGTATGGAGGCGGCCACAGGATGTCCTGGTTACAGAGCAAGGCTCAAGCGTGCTCTGTGTGGTACGAACAGGGAGTGGGGGAGAAATCCAGTGACCAGAGAGATGAAAAGCAAAGTGTTCTAAAATAAAACCAACCAAACCAACTCTCCAAGTTGGCAACAGGTATGAGAGGAAATTTATTCTGGATCACCTTGGACTCCCGATCACCTTTTTCTTAATTTTCCTACAACTCTGTGTAGAGCCTGGTCACAGAGCCATCCTTCTTGCCTGGGCTCGGGAGGTGCTTCTGCACTCGAAGTGAGCACGTATGGGGCAAACTTGTGTTCGGAAACAGATCTGGGCCTTTCCTGCGGCTTGGGGACACCCGAATCTGCCAACTCAGGGCTTGAAGTGTAGGTGTCCTAGAAAACAGAGTCAGGCATCACGGTGACACTGAGGCTTTGCTGTTTTCAGGTGCGGAAGAGCAGAGCAGATCAGTAAACACGCCACGTTGTACAGTGTCCTGCACCAACAGAAACATCTGTTCTGTATTGCTGCATGGGATTAATAAATAATAACAATAAAACCCAAAACCCCAGTGCCCAGCCACAGAATAAATGTCCGAATTCCTCCTTGGCGAATTAGCAGTTTCCACATTCCTCTTTCCCATTTTGACTACACTTGCCTATTGCTTTCATGTTCTTAATGTGCTTTTCTTCTAAAAAAGAGCTTCTGACCCAGTGATTCTCATTTATTTGTGTCTCTGTCTTCTTTTGCTTTATATTTCTGCTCCCGTCAGGAAATTTTGCAAGCGGTTGCATCATCCTTTTTCCTCTCAATTGTCTTTGCCGCCTGCCCTGGCGCGGCCGTGCTCGCGGGAGCTGGGTAACGTGCACAGCGGCGTGTCGCAGCGGCGCTGGCTCCGCTTCCGCGTCCCCTGACTTGGTTCCTGTCAACTTTGTTGACTTTAATACCCAGAGCATGCTTCACTAGAGGACTGCAAAAGGATTTCTAGACGCTAATTCCACTGATCACAGAGATATTCACCATGCAGAATATGTCTCTAGATGGCCGTGAACAGATCGAACACCAGTTCTGCTCAGCCCCAGCTACAAAGGACAAAGGAGCTGCTTTGCTCAGCTCAGCTTTTCTCTTTATGAGCTGGTTTCAGCTGGGCCAGACCACTTATAGCGTGGCAACAGCAGCAAAGCCTGGTTTAGTCTTCAAATCACTTCCTCACATCTCAAACTGAATCTGGAGATGCAGTTTAGTCCCTCCGAGTAAGAGAAGTCTTGTCTTAATCATCCATGTATTTAGAACAAAGGAAAAGAGGGAAATAGTTTCTTCGCTTAGGCACAACATTTTTATGCGAAGTGCTGTGCCAAATGAGCGCGTCATTAAGCAGCCATGGTGACATGTTATGCTTTCTATTGCCTTGCAAGCTGGGTTTTAATTCCTGAGGAAGTTTCGTCCGGTTGGCTTTGTTCTATAGTAGTCCTTGGAAAGTGGAAAGTTTGATTCATGGTGTTTGAAAACAGTGTTCAGGGAAATATTCCTGGAAAGTAGACCTGGGTGCCTGGGCTGAGCTTTCTAGAAGGACGGTGGCTTGCTTGCTATTGGTGGTTGTCTCTCTTCTTTCGTATGTGTGCAAATAAAATAAGTTACATTGAAAATAGACCAAAATACCACACTGCTTCCCTTCCACTGAATCTGGTGTGTAGGTGCTGCCTCTGGACAGTGGTGCAGCAGGGATATTTAGAGTCTTCCCAGGCCAAGTCCTGTTGAGCTGCACTCACTGAGGCTTCTTTCTGCCTTCTCATAGAGTTCTTGTACTTCGCCCAGGAAGACAGGGACGTGATCAGAAAATACATCTGCCAGGGAGACCAGATTGCCGATGTAGAAAAGTGCCTTTGCAATGCCAAGCGACTCTAGCTCTTAAAATGCTAATAGCGTGCCTGAAAAAGAAGGAATTTATTTAATTACACTTATTTTATATAGTAGCTAGGCTGGTGGGTGTCAGGAAGGCATCTGGCACTGCCCATGCAAGAAGTAAGAAGCCGTGTTACTCGATCAAATGGGCTTGGATGGAATCTCCTTTCCATTTCTGACAGATGAATGGGAGTTGCAGGTCTCCCTCCCGCAGGGTGGGATTTGCCATGTGGAAAGTCCGTGCAAATACAAAAGTGAGTTACCAAAGGTTGCAAAGCTGCACGTCACGGTCACTGGACAATTTTAACTGTGCTGGACTTGACTGGGCTGTGATGATTCAGCATCTGCCCTTGTCCAGACTGACCTTGTCCAAATAAAAAATAGAGAAAAACCAAACATAGTTGCTTTAACAGAGTTGTGCAAACGGCACCGTCAAAGGATGCCTCCCCTGCAGAGCTCCCTGGGCAGCTTGTCTGCTGGGAAGGCTGGAGCCCGATAGCTCTGGAGAGCTTGCACCACTAGCCCACGGGCTGTCAGTAGTGGTTCTGCCAGCCCTCTCCTTCCTGGTTTTACCTCTCCTCCTCACAGTTCTTCATGGCTCCACCAGAGCTGCTGCAAGGGTCTGCTCTTCCTGGGCAGGCACCGAAGCTCTTCTGCTGTTGTTGGAGTGCGGGAGGGGAGAGAACCCCGCTCTGCCCAGGCGTGAGGCTCCGTGCTGCTCTGCTACATCCTGTACTGCTCGATATGACAAGGCAGGGACTTGCCAAAACCCCGCTCTGGAGAGGTCAGGGAGCAAAGAGCTGTTTCACCCAGGATGGTGTGTGTGGTCCCAGAAAGGAGCCCTGCATAGCAGATTCCCACCAGAACTGTTGCAGGCAGATAGTGTTGATAAATCACTTGCCAGACGTAGTATCAAAAAGTTTTATCCAAGTTTTTAATAAAAAAAAATTCCACAAAAAAAAATATATATAATCAGGCATTTTATGCAATGCATACATTCTTTATATCTGCAGGTACAGATAAATAACAGAAGGCAAAACCAAGTATTTTGCTTATCTTTGGCCATTAACCAATAATCACCCCCGAAGAGATATTACAGGGTTAAAGAATAATAAACTGAGTCTGTAAACCTCTCTCGTTACAGACAAAGTATCAGGCAATAATACAGTAGTTATGATTTTTTTCAGAAATGTCAGGAACTATTTCTTTCACACTGCCCAATACTGAAATTTAACCTGGTTTGCTGCTGCTGCTGTGGAACTTAAGGCCTTCTCTAGCTGACGGGCAGCCGACGTTACCGCGTTTCTGTCAGGTGTATCCAGACCCTCACCTCACCATACATTGCTCAAAAATCCTCCTGAACTACAGGATGAACCCTTCCCTGCGGATCAGTTTCCTGAACTACACCAGGATGAACCCTTCCCTGCGGATCAGTTTCCCGAACCCCAGCCAATGCACATACATACAGAGCAGTTACACTTCCTTAAGTCAATATTTTTTCTAAGTCAGTGTCCCAGAATAATAGCTCTCCTTCCACTTTACAGCACAGATGCATCTGACGGCTCTACCAAAGCAATATACACATGATACACATTAAAAGTCATAAAAGCAGTTTTTAAAGGTACACTGATAGCATGTAGCAGCTTATGTCTATATATGTACAAGTTTTCACAGTTTTATTTTAGAAAACTGAGAACACCAGGAATACTTCTACTACGTCTTCTATAAATATTAAAAATTATCTATCGGGCATTTTGACAAAATAGTATTTAGGTTATCACTTTAAATAGCTCTTGAAAACCTGTAGAGTTTTAAGCTTAAAGGCTGTAAAGTTTGAGGATTCTTTAAAGTGTTTAGCCAGTTTCAGCAGCTAGGCCACCTGCCAGTCTGATTATTTATTTTTTTTTTAAATTTTTTTCAATTCAAATCTGGTAACAAAGGAACTCCACCACTTTTGATGGGATGGGCAAGTTCTTGACTTGGCTGGTGGGCATCACTCTTCGAATTGCCATGCGACATAGGTGTTGGAGACTGGAAACTTGTCTCGGAGTTGCCCAGAAGTACACGCTGCCATCCTGTGTCCTGCACACACCCAAAAAAAAAAAGAAAAAACCCCACCAAACCATAAGCAAACAGCAGAATAATCCCACCTGAATGACTTCAGCTAAGTGCAAATTCTCCCACGCACTAGTAGTGAGGTGGCATGTGCTCCAGGCTTTGTGTTGCTCGGTGACACCAGGTGTCAGTTCTTTTAGGCCATGGCAGTGCAATTAGCAGCTTGCTAATTATCTGTGTGACAGGCAGATCTTCCAATAGCTCTGGAGTACAGCACCTCCAACAGGGTAACTGCCCTTCCCCATCTAATGTAAGGTCTTCCAATGCACATGTTTGCGGCTCTGTCTTTTATTTATTCTCAAAGATAAGAAACGAGTTTATCAGCTTCTTGATTTTACTGCTGTTCCAGGCACGTTTAAACAAATAGCACCAGAAGTAAAACCAAGTCAGGAGTTAGGTTTAGAACACTTAGCACTGTTTTCAATCTTTTGTGTTACCTAAATATTTTGAGAAGAGGGGGTAAAAAAAAGTCTATACTTGCCCTGCAGCTAGAACACTGCCATCAGTAGAGAAAGTACAGCAGAGCCCGTTGTTGAGAGGTGCAACTTGAACCGGGTATTCTTCATCGATTCTCCAGAATCTCACCATTCTGGGGAGGGAAGAACAACGCAGTAAGGTATCACAGCACACGAGGCATCTTCTCCGATGCTGCACAAGAAACTAAGCTGAAACAGAGCTCGGGGACTTTGCAGGAACATTTTGATATGCACACGAGGTGTTTGGGATTTGGCCTGAAATACCAGGACTTTGTTCCTGAGGTATAGCTTCATCTGCACTTCTTTAACCACTTCAGCTCTGCCAATTAAAATCAAAGATCGCCTTCAAAGCAGTAACTTGAGCTCCAGATTTACACAGTCTCCCCCAAGTGCCATCTATGCCAGGAAATCCAAACAATGCTTGGCTTAAACTGTCTACAGGACAGCTCTGGGTTTTAATCAATACCCTCACTGTCATCTCGAGAAAGCATTCCTTGTGTTGTTAAAATATAGTTGTTAAAAATATTTGCAGTGTTAGCAGAAGCTGAATATGAGATCATGGAATACTTTTTATGGACTCTTACCACCATACAAATGATTTACCTGCATTATTAACTCCATTTACATTTTTCACTGTTTACAACTGTTTTTCTGTTTTCAGCTGTTACAAACTTCAGTTATTCAGATTTCCTCTGTACTGAATTCTTTCTACATTCAGCGTGAACATTAACAAATATCAGACAGCTCATCTGCTTTTACCAAGACCATTAGAAGTAATTTCTCAGTTTAAAAAAAAAAAAAAAAAAGAGCTGACTTAGAATTTAAAAGTTTGTGTAATATGGGAAGAACTAGAGGAGTCTAACAAACCTTTCCCCATACTTACTTATCGTCAGCAAGGCTTGCAATATGCAGTCCATCGTGACTAAAAGATACCGATCTGACCCACCGGTCGTTTGCACCTCCAGCAAATATTGGCGTAGGAGCGGGAAAGAGGTGCCTGGAGATAGAGACACACTCAGTGAACAGCAGAATGGTTCAGAGCTATGGAAGCGCTTCCTTCAGCCATGGTTAGCAAAGCTGAGGAAATAAAAAGGGACTGAAAATTTAACTATGAAGTCAGGAGCAGAGACAGAACTACCGTTATCTTCTGGAGGTCTGATCACTTCAGCTTTATTGGAGATGCTCAAATCGGTACACATTAAAATATCAGTGCTTTAAGCTCTTTCTCAGGCAGAGGAATAACCCCCACTGCTCTGCCACTTTAGGTTTTCCATCAGCCACTTCTGATTATCTATTATCTATTAAATACACAAGCCTGTTCATTTTCACTAGTTGTCACAGCTCTAGGAGAAAGTTTCTGTACTTTGCTTACCCAAATTCCATAAGAATAACTCCAATATGTGGATCCCAGACATAGACTCGAGTATCGTAAGATGCAGTAGCCAGCAGAGCTCCATCAGGGGAAAACTCACAGGCTACAACATCATTGTGATGCCCTTCAAGTTTCCGTATCATGGAGTATTTATCCATATCCCAGAGAAAAACCTGCAATTAAACAGGCTAATATTATAGCTCTGCTCAGAGCTGCAATGAAGCATTTAGTTGTTTTTTTTTGTGGGTTGTTTTTTTTTTAAAGTATAGCTGCTAGTCTTATTTAAGATTACATTAAAATCAAGCATTATGAATTACTACAATTAAGAAATATGCTCAGTGTCATACTCAGATTAAAATCAAGTTTTTAAAAAAATAATTAAAGCAGACATGCAAGTTCTAACTCGAGTTTGTTAAATGTTATTAACAAAATAAGCCAAAATGTAAGATAAAGGCAACAAATTTTAACCATATAGCTTACTGAAATTCATGTATTACAAAACTATTTTATTAAAATATGCAGAAATAAATAGGGTTAAACTCTACAGTCCCCTCTTTTCAGTAACTACCGAAATTTTAAAAAATATACAGACAGAAAACGTAAGGTTAACATATTGTTACTCCAGTGGCATCCCTTTGAGTTTAAGATCACTTGTTTACAATTGGCTTGGATCACCAACGTCAGCCTAGGAAGAGAAACAGATACTGCAAGCAAAAAGAATTTTCACAGCCAAAAGTTATGTCTTTGGCAAAACAACAGGGAAGTCTAACCACATCATTAGTAAGAATTTATGCATTTTAAATCAACAGTAAAAAATGACATTTACATTACAATTTACTCAGTTAATTTGTGTATTGCATTATAGAAATTGATAAAAGATTCTAGTATTCTGGGATTTTACATGCAGTTGTACGTTATACAGGATCAAAATGAAGACTGTGCAGAATTACTTAATAGGAACGATCTACGTACTGCAGCATAATTTCATAGCAAATATAAGTCTTCAGCATAGTAAGTTACGTCCCTAAAAGAGCTCATTAGGGTCCCTGACTTTTCCCCTGACTCAGTTTTACAGCACAGATTAAATACTGACACCTTGGCTAAATTTCTGTGTTTGACCAAAGCAAAGGCAGCCTTGGTGCGTCACGTACTCCCTACAACTGAACCATTTTACAGTTGGTTAGAAACATGTTGACCAATTTCTCCAAAGAGACCCCCAAGGCTCCATATAACTGGAAGCTAAGTTTTAGGAGTCAGTATGTGTCACTGCTGTGAAAATTATTAAAAAAAACCAAAACAAAACAAAAAAAACAAAGAAAGAAAGAAAGCAGAAAGTGGACATCAACCAGCACCTGCGTACGTACAGTACACCCTGCAGTCGAATGCAAGGTTACTTCGTCCTACGGTAAAGTTCGCCCCCAGCCTGGTAGCCAGAGATGCCACTCTTTCTGCCCCGCTAGCACCACTGTGCTCCTGTGCGAGCGGTGCCAGCTTAACCTCAATCACACCAATTTTGCTGCCACCACCTGTGACAGGGAAAGCAAGAAGCTTATGGAAAACACACAGCCTAAAGACAGCAAGGTATACATCCACATCTGCTCTAGTTAAAGAAAAAAAACCAACCCCAGACCTCGGCTATTCTCCACCAAATCCGCACTGATCATTTAAAAGCAGAAGATGCATTTGAACAGCCATCCGTAGAAAGTGGTGTCAATGACTGAAATGGGCTTTCTACTCAGCGTCACCAGGGTTCTGTGAGCTCCCTCCAAGGCCCCTCTAACTGGCCTCGATTCCCCTTTCTGCTTTATCCTAACTCTTCAGTGCCAGCAAAGCAGCCGGTGGCAGATGCGCTTTACCTGCACTGCTTTCAGTTCTCTAGCAGGGCATTAGAATACGGACGAAAACAACACCAGGATGCTGTTCTTCGTTCTACAGCTTTTAGACACAAGTGCCATTTGTATTGGAAAACATGTAGGAACATTTT